GACAATGTTGCAACGTCCGCAGAGCTGTCTGAGCACCATTGTGGCCCCACTTTTTTGTCTGCCACCCGCTGTCTCAATCGACGTGCGTGCTTCGACGTGGTGCTTCCATTCAGTCCGGGTCCCCCGCACTGTTTTGCTGTCACACCACGAGGGAACCCGAACGTCTTTCTCACGCAACATCATTGCCAACAAAAGCTCAAGCCCACTTAACGCCACCGACTTCCTCGCAGTCTTTTGATTGGCATCGAGCCGTAGAGGTATCCTCGGACTCACTGCTGCTGCTGCTCTCCGCTCGAACAAGAGCACAGCAAGAGCTAAAACTCGAGCTGGAGCTGGTACAAGACTCCCGTCTTTTCTCCTCCACTACCGTGCTTCTCCAACCACTACGCTCCCACGACTCTCCTTCTCCACGCCCTGTCGCTTCTTCCCCCCCTTCACTGCACTTTCCACCACCTTGAACTTCTTCAACCTCGGCTCTCTGTCCGTCTTCCCACGCGCTTTTCGCTTCAGCAGCTTCTGATTCTCCACTTTCTCACCCTCCGAACTCGCCGTCTCACTATCCGGAACCTCTTCTTCTTCTTCTTCCTCTCTCATTAGTAATACAGGACTCTGGACCACAATCGTGTCATTGTCCCGAACAATCCGGATACTCTGCGACGCCAGCACCGGCAGCTCTTCTAACATCAACTCCAGACCCTGAGGACAGCGCTTCTGAAGCCCGAACTCCCGCAACAAGGCGTGCGCCAAGTCACCCACGATCTTCATGTCAGCAGGGAGCAGGTACCAGCACGAAGAAAACCCGTAGCGACGTTGGACGTGGTGCTTCACAGCGTCTGCGAACACGAGGCGCACGCGGACGTCCATCGGTTTTTCACCGATGGCTCGCAGTGAGAACAGTGATAAGATCCGGATATACCTCTAGTTAGTGATTAAAAGCGGAGAGTGTAATTTGCTCTGTGGTTTGGGCAAGCGAGACCGTTTCAACAGCACTTTATGTCAAAAGCTTGTGTCACGACTCCGCTTTTTTTGTTGCGCACGTATACTGTATACAGGTTTAGAAATCCGCTCCATTCAGATTTAGAAATCCGCTCCACGTTCGACAAGTTTTGCTTCCAGTATGGACCGGATCACTCGAGTGCATGCACAGCTGAGTGCTGCAACAACCGACGCCTCAATTCGTGACGTGTTTGTGTCACCAATACCTACTGACTGTCCACAGTCGATCTACGACACGGTGCTCTCGCCATCTGCGGTCGCTTTCGTGGCAGACTTGGCTGCTGCGTTTCACCACGAGGTCCAACAGGTAGAAACGTCGTTCATCAGATAGAAATGCAAACATACTATTTTTCTCATCCACTAGCACAAATAGTGAGCTTTGCATGATGGCATTCTTATTTTTCTCTTTCTATCCACTAGTACTAGAGCTAACGTTTTTGGGTCTTAATACTCTTTGCTGGTCTGTAGCTGCACACGGAGAGCGTGGAGGCGCGACGTCTTGCAACAGAACGACATGGCACAGAAATGCCACATTTTCTGCTGGGAAACTCGATTGATGCAAAAAGATGAGACGTGGCAAATTGATGCTCAGGGTGCAGAGCAATTGCACTTCCTGGACAATTGAATATTGGAGACTTTTCTCCTGCTGACTTTTTGGAAATTTTTTGCTCCATAGACAACCAACTCCCCCCCCCAGGTGTGTGTCGACGTCTCTGCTTTCTCTCTGCTGTCCCAATAGCTGCAGATATTGCCGATTGTGATTTAATCGAACATTTGCTGTGAAATAGGGTGTCCAAGATGAGCTTTTATCGATGGACATTGTCCAACGTGTTCCCCCACGCTTTAGGCCATTTTAATGTCATGCAAACTGCTTCGGGGTGTGCTGGACGTATCGGGAAAACGACGCTGTTCTGGCCGGTATAGCGTGCAGAACATGTTGCATGTCCCAGATGTGGACAAAACACTGACCTTTTACGATTAATTCTCGTAAAAGAATTTTTTAAAAAATCTGTGTACAAGAATGCATAGAAGCTAATTACAATTTCATACTCGGGTGATTTCCGGGGATCCCCCCCCCCCCAGCAGAACGCATATCACTTTACGGTAAAGGAAATGCTGTTTGACTGATCATTCGTCGAACCCAAAGGACTTTGTGTAAATGGCTCGGTCTTTGCTACTACTTACACAAGTGCGGAAAAAACTACGCTGAATGGCAATTACATTAAGCAGCTTCCTTAAGAAAGAATTGAGTTTGGTGTTGTGACCTTCAGTACATGCTCTAGCATTTGAAGCATTGAGGGACAGTTTTCATACTCCAATTGTGGCGTATACCTGGTCCTGATTGGCTTTCAGTGTCCTCTGTGACGCGTCTGATTTATCTATTGGTTGTGCATTATTGCAGACAGATGTCGTTGGACATGAGAGCGCGTCATTGCGTCTGAATCTTGTAAGATCCCGAAGCTGCAGAGAAGAACTATCCAGCTCACGACAAAGAGTTACTCGCAATGAAGTATGCCCTTGTCAAGTTCAGAGTCCACCTAAGGGCTCAAAGCCTTTGTGATATTCACAGATCCTACGTCGTTACGCACTGCGACACCGTCGCTTCACCTCTCACAGCGTATGCCTGTTGGATTTCATTTTTTGCTGAATACAGCTTCCAGGTGAAGTATAAGCCGGGCAAGCAAAATGATTGGCTGATGCGTTGTTACGCAGACCAAATTACGAGTTTGCTCATGCTACGACTCTTTTCGTCATCCATTTATTTTCCAGTTCGTCGGCATTTGCATGTGATGAGTAATGTGCAGCATATCCTACATGCTCTTGGAAGCGAGGAGAATTTAAAGGCTTGGACATCAAAATTGTGGGCACCTTTATGTGCGAGCACACATCGATCTGCCATCTTTGTTGGGTTGTTCTGCTATTGCCCATATGCTGAGATAACTTTCGTATCGCTGACTCTCAGGATGAAATTTTTAAGTATCAAATTATCTACGAAGCACATGATACCCATTAAAATGTACATGCACCTCAGCTAGACAGGTTTACAGCTGGCCCAAACTATGCAAGTCGGTGAGAAACTATGTGCATAATTGTAAAACGTTTCAACGAGCTTAATCCTCGGCACATGCGGCGGATGCGCTGGCAAGTCTGTTCGTGCCCCTTGAATGTTGGTAGTCCATGAGTACAGACGTTTTGGACCTAGCGAAAGGCAACGAATGGCAATAATGACATTGTGATCTTTGTTGACCGATGAGGCAAGATAACCCATCCAGCGTCAGTGCCGGATTCTTGAGGAAATCGTAAAGAAAATCTGATCGTTGACCGTGTGTATCCACAACATGATTTTCCAGTGGCAATTTGCTCTAGTACAGATCTTTGTTTCACCGAGAAGTTTTCGGTATCTATCCTCGAGGTGATCGGCATCCCATTGTACATGTTCAAGGCGAACCGTCTGCATACCAATTATCAAAATGAGTGTAATAATCGCGATATCAATTGCATTTTGTGCAGTGTTTGCGCTGATACGCCCAAGCGTTGGAGCTCCTGTGTTGAGTTTGCGTCGAAAAACGCTGTTCATGCCTCTACAGGCTATACTCCGTTTTAAGTAAACAGTACCACCCACACTCGCGTTCCGTTAACGCTACCACTATGTTGTTTAGGGTGTGCTGGGAGAGAGGGTTGCCCATTTGCTTGCTGATATCATCCCTGCTACTGTTTAAACACCGGTAGGCAATTTTCTTGCGACGCGATGAAATATCTTGAGACATGCGCGTGACGCAATGAATGAAAGCCAAGACCAAAAACAACAATTAGTGCTACAAAACAGAAGTTGCTTTGACAGGTATCAGGTCAGAGACAAAATATTTAATCTTTGCAAATAAACTACATCGTAATGCAGTGTCCGTTTTCGTTTAGACAAAAATGCGTTTGCGCAATAATGAACCGGTCACGGTCGTTGCTAAGAAGGTGACTTGAGAATGCGCCTCAGACTTTCATGCTAATTGAGCACACATCCTGTGTTCTTACGTTGAATTGCTCAAACCGTATCGGGATCCGGTCCCACGTGACTTGTAGGCGCTGGAGCTGCAAATCTTGGCATGGACATCGGTTGCAGAATTTGAATCAGGAGGTCAAGCTGGGCCATCATTTTGGTGTTACCCGACTCCAACGCTTGAATGCAAGTTTGCGTTGCGTCGAGCGCACCCTGGGTATTACCCACTGTCTCACGGAGACCACTCAGCTCGAGAAGCACCTTATCATGCTTGTTCTTCGGTACACCGACCTTAAACGATGCTGCTCGATGAGCAAGGCAACCGCCGTTTCATGTGAAGAGACTCCTGAAACGACGTAGTCGTCATGGCCAATGCCCGCTACTGGTAAAGTGGCTCGGGTTCCTGGAGGTGGAGAACTCATGAGAGCATGAGATTCCCCTTCTGCAAGATTGCCCCTAAGCCTCGGATGTTTTTTGAACATCGTGGCCAGTGTCATCTTGAAACTGAGGTCATTTCCCATCACTAGTGGTGCGGGTTGGCGGTTTGGTGGTCAGCAGTCTGACCAGCACTCAAGGCAACCGTAGTAGCTTGAAGCATAGTGCGTACGATTGCACAATTGGCCTCTGGCCTTGAGCTTGGAATAATCAAAATGAAGCTTGCGCTCGAGACGCTTATCGGTTAAACTGACACTAGCTCTCAGAGCGTAAATTCTGCTGAATGGGCGAGTGCAGTGCACCCAGCAAATGAAGTCATTGTCTTCTTTGTCCGCAATTTTTCCTGCGAACGAGAGAATGAGTACACACTTAATCGGTGAAACCAATTCACCACGTGCTCGTATCTTAAGGCATGTTTGTACTGACTTTCCGTGGTCAGAATTGGCTCTAGGTGCCTCTCACGAAGTGCCGGTCCTCGGGAGAAGCAGCTGGAGGACCAAATGTCGTCGTTGCTAATGTTTGTCCAGTCGTTTGACGTAATCGTTCCTCCAGAATGATTGTATTGAGCACATAGTCACGCCGGTTGGCAAGGACCATGACCATTAGTGCATGGCGCTGGGCGCTTTATTCATGTTGTAAAATCAACAGCCAACTCTTGAAGCTCATCGAGCGGGTTGGTGATGATTGCATTATCCAAACCGGGTGTTGCTTGTGACCCCATTAGCGCATTCGCACTTCAACTTCAGGGAACAGACTTAATGTAGTAGGAATTGTACCTCGGGCATGATTGTATCGGACAATGTCCTTGCATCGTCCGGGACACTGATACCGCTACCGTAGTCCACTACCACCTACATCGCAAAGTATGCACGAAAATTCTGTGACTCGTTCGGCGATGATGACATAGCGCTTGTGCTTTGCGTTTCCTATAAGTTGACCACAAGCGCAACGAGGGTGTGAAGGGGTTACCACGTAATAGACCACTCAGTAGCCTGCGTCTTAGACACACGGGATTGTAACCCACTGAAAGAGATGCAGAATATCTTATCCTTTCATTGGAGCCGACGGATGTCAGCCCCAGATTGGAAAGATCGTGAAGGTCAGGCAATCTAGGATATGAGTGCCTAGCTTAGGTAGTGTTCGGATTAATGTCGAGGAGCTACTTAGCGCTCTTTAACACAGGAAGTCTTAGACTCGAAGAGTATTTTTAGTATAACGAAATAACAAAAGACGTGCAGCCGTATCAGCGTACAAGCTTAACAATCCCGGTTCCATAAGGTTTATGATTCACATAATCACACACTGACTAGTCACTGCTAGTTAAACAAGATTAAACGCCTTGATAAGGTTGATGCTCCTAAACGACACACTAGGCACTTGCGTCCAACGATTTGAAAGGGGAACTGAGCTTTATTATTTTTTTGACTACGGTAGTAAACCCTAAAACCTTGTCTGACTGTTTTCTACATGGCGATCCTATGACAGAAGTCTTATCCCCTATCCCTACCCACTAAGGTGCGGTATTACCGTAAGTACGTGGCACCAAGACTGTACCGGTCAGATCCACTCATCTTTACTTAGTGTAGACACTCAAACTTCCCGGTTAAATAACCGCGTGTAATTCCGTTACAGTGGCAGTCTTCACCACGCCACAAGTACGTTCACAGCACGTACGAAAGACTCACATAAACCTACTACTACGAAAATTATGTTTCCGCTGTACAAAGCTAATTGGTCCAAACAGTAGAGAGTATGCAGTACGATCTTGAAGGCGTTGAACGCGTCGTCTGCTAGCAGTCGCGTCAGCTGCAACCAGCTGAGCGGAACTATCCAGTGCATGACAAGGAACTCCCTTGCCATGAAGTATGCGCTCGCGAAGTTCAGAGTCTATCTATTAGGAGATAGACCCTTCATTGTTTACACTGACCATGCGTCATTACGCTCGGCAGTGAACAGCCCGCACCTTTCACAACGAAAGGCGCGGTGGTTGTCATTCTTTGCAGAATACAACTTTACGGTCGAGTACAAACCAGGACGATTGAATGTCGTCGCTGATGCACTCACGTCGGCCCGACTTTGAACCATGTCGGGACACCCAACAGTGGGACAGCCACTGTTGCAGTTATGACGTCCTCAGTACCAT